CAAATAGCATTGTAAATAACTTAACATGAAATAGATCGCAGTTTCTGAAGCCTCGACAATCATTGAATCTGTGAGCCTACAACGTGAGGACTCTGGTGCAAGTGGGTCAATATTGTCTGGCGAGTACAATGGAATCCTTGGGGACCGATTTGTTGGGTATCGGAGACTCTAATTCAAGATCCAACTACGACAAGTCACTTGAGCGCGCCAGATATTTCCTCAAGGTAAGTTCTTCGCAAATCAGGCAACGACGAAGCTTGTTCAGTAGGTTGACGCGGGGTGGGTATTGCACTCAGTAACAGGGCAGAGTCCTTTCCTATTGATTGAACCCCCATCAACAGTCTTTTATGTGCGATGCCTCGCCACGGGTCTATCGATGTCCGGAAGGGAAGCAAAACCCACCATCATATCGACATACGCACCGGCCAATTGTAGCTTTGATACACAAAAGGACGATTTCTGCAACAAACTCAAAACTTATTCGGCTGAACTGAAGCTCCGACAGAGTTGCACTTACAGGTGAATCTAATGCACAGGCTGGGAAACTGAGCGCATCAGAAGCTTACCTTGGCTCTATCCTGGCAGCGAACAGATAACGGTGATCGAATTCTTCTGCTCNTCTGTACACATCTGTCCCTATCGAGTACCGACAGCTCTCGCCGGACGGCAAAGTGACACTACAGTTCAACTGGCAAGCTAACTCAAACCAATCACAGCAGTAACCTACCGTAGGCATGGCTTAGCACAAACTGCATAAAACAACTTGACACCGGAATTTACCTTTGAGAAAAAAGTGAAGTGCTGACAGGCGAAGGAAACAAGTTCTTGAGAAGGCAAATTGAATGTTGGATTACCTCTTTTATGAGTCTGTTTTCGGGCTTACTGAAATCAGTATGTGTGCGCGCAAGTGTGTGCGTATACAAATACACATAAACGTCAATTCACAACTATCACAAAAGACTATTGTAGACTGAATATTCGGGGTTTCTCAAGCAGTTCAATAATCACGGTGTTCTGTGCAAAAGAAGACATTAAATTCACATTCAGAGACTCAATTACTCATTAGACTTCGAAGACAATGAACCCCAACAACCTCTTTGTAGTGCTAGACCCATGAACTCACTACGATGTTGCCAAACTGACAAATGACTGTGACTATATTCTACCGTACAAAACGAGAAAAGAACGGGACCAAGATTTTCGATTTCTGACAAAACGTGGTACATGCTTTAAGGTTGGAATAATGCAAATGCTTGAAGTTACACTTACATCATTCCAACGACCTTCTAGTATGGCATGTCGCAGTTCCGTCGCATCGATGTGTTCCAAGGAAATTCCCGACTCCTTCGAAAGTTGAGTGTAGGCCCCACTAACAAAAAATATCGACAATGTACTGAAGAACATACGTGAGACCCTTGTCGCAAAGGTACTGGCCGATGAGTCGCAGCATTTCGACGTCCCTAGCTGTGTTCTCTTGGTTGACAGATTTATCCTCTCGACGTTCAGAGGAAACTCCATTCAACTGGGAGCATAAGACATCGCCGTTATGCTCGAATATCATCCTCGGTTTCAAATGAAGTAACTCAGAACCTCATAAATATCAACTATTGCGGGACCAAACTAATACAGCCGGAGACTACAGCTGGTGGAACACCAAATTGGAAAAGACAAACAAAGACCTCAAGGTCAAGGACAGGTCAGGACAGGACAGGAAAGGAAAGGACAGATCACAGGACTTGCGGCGGAGCCAGAAGCAGTCCAGTTTCTTGCACCAATGAGCTTGGGAGCACCACGGCGCTGCGACAATTGTATTATTTCGTTCACGTAGGCGTGGGTGGGTGCGGTTCTGGAAAAGGAAAACGCACTTCTGATGGTTCCTCGGAGTGACAGTACACGTCTGAGGTTTTACCGGGATCAAAACAACAGCTCGCAACCAACCACTCCGAGCTACCCAGAGTAAAAGGTGTGTTGGGAGGAGAAGCATGACCTACGAGTGGTGGTGCTGTATGTTGAGAACTTTCAGTAGAATGTGTTGCACAGTGAATGAAAATTGGAGCTGAGGGAGTTGGAGTGAACAAAGTGTAGTAAGGGATAAAGAGTCAAAAGTTAAAAGTTAAAGGTGGGGAACCCGAAGACGGACGAGCTTTTAGCGACCTTAGGCCCGGTGTCAGATACAATCGGAGAACGCTGATGCCC